AAATGCTTGTTTTGATGTCCCTTACTGGCCTTACTACCCCTTAAAGTTTGTCGGTATATTTTTGGGACACCCTGTCTAGGTATAACTGATATTACTATTTTGCCTTTTCTTTGATAAATTTCCAGAACAGATTAGCATCATGGGTAATATTTTGTTCAGTATTTCTTACAAATCGAGAACGGCAAGTTTTAATAAGCTTTTTTGTTTCTATTCTTAGCTTACAGTATTTTTCTCTATATTTTGCTTTAAATTTTGGTTGTTTTTTTGACATTTTGGAAAAGTGTTTCTTTTGATTTAATTTCTGTAGGTATGAGTTGTAAATTACCTATTTTCTTCTTCGGAATGCACAATGCTCAAAAATGCTGTATAAAATCTCATGAGAAACCAGTACACATAGATTGACATCGGAGTATCGGAGCCATTTGCAAGTTCAATCCAATCCTGCTCACTTAGCAGTCGGTAAAGCAAAGGATGGTCAGAACGAGCAAGATCATAGGTAAATGAGCCATCAGGAACATCATCAGAAACCCCATCATTTCTTGACTTTAATTTGAAAGTTATTTTTAGAACTGGATGATAGTTATCAATGCTTACCCAGCGCATTCTCAAAATCTTCCTCAACATTGGCCTCTGTTTCATTTGTCAGGACCAGATCCAGATGTGTTGCCTAGACGATTTTTTATATTATTCAGGGAATACAAATCATACTCACTCAGTAAATGGTTAATGAGTTGAGACTATGGTGAACCTCTAGCCAAGCATGTCAATACTGTATGTACAGTGAATCAATAAAACCCTCATAAATATTAAAACTAAAGTTACAACTGATATAAATACAACGGAGTACGGAAAAAAGGTCGAATTACAAAATGTCGAATTGTCACAAAAGATCGAATAGCAAAATGTCGAAAATACAAAAGGTTGAAAATATATAAGGTCGAATAAAAAATGGTCGGGTTAGTTTGTGTTAGTTCACTTTATTTAGCACCCCTTCTTATTTTACTAGTCTTGTATATCCAAATTCCAATTTATCTCGCTCGGACCCGTAATTTTCTCCTTCGAATTTGAAGGTCAGAGTTTTTATTTTTATTTTTTAGTGAGACAAAAAAACGTCAATATCCGCATCTAAATTGAAACAAAAACATTTTTAAAAACGATATATCAACTAATTTCTATCGAAAATATGTTAATTTTTGAAAGTGTCCTCCCTGACGTGACGTTTCACTATAGAAGTTTACGGGATCGGGAGGTAAATAGGAGTGCATGGGTCAGAAACGAAGATTGGGTTAATTACAAAAGTGTACAGAGTTTTGGTTAGTTTGGTTTAGTTTTGGTTAGTTAGCGTTAGTCAAGGCGTTAGTATGTGGAAAAGAAAGTAGAAAGAAAAAAAGATTGTATTTTCGACCTTTTGTATTTTCGACCTTTTGTTATTCGACCCTTTGTTATTCGAGCTTTTATATTTTCGATCTTTTTTTCGACCTTTTATATTTTCGACGCTCTGTATTTTTGACCTTTTGTATTTCGACCTTTGGTAATTTCGACCTTTTGTTATTCGACCTTTTCTCATTCGATCTTCTGGATTTTCGACCTTTTGTTTTCGACTTTTTGTATTTCGACCTTAGGTTTTCGACCTTTTTTTCCGGGACTCAAATACAACATATTGAAAATTGAGTATTATTTACATTGATTGTGACACAAATCCATTGAAAACCTATAGATTTACTCTTAGCTACTAACTCCGGCCTATATATTTTGCTTTCACACAACACATGACTGACTCCTCCACCTCGACTCACATCGCAGTGGAGATAATTTTTATCATTTCTAAATATCACATATCTATTATCACGATTCCATTATCGTGAAACGAGCCATTCAACCATGTTTCACTTATGCAGACAGCATCCCAGTCCTTTCCAATTATGCTCTCATATATAAAGTTCGCCTTACGAGTCTAGCACTATGGAAAGAATGCGGATAAAAAAAACGCAATATTGCCTATTTGACTTCCAATAAAAATATTACATTACACACCTAAATTTATAAGGAAAAAGTTATATTCAAAAACGTTGCGCGCTCGCCTATGACAGGCAGCATAAAGCTCGAAATGAATGGCGTTATGTTCCCTTGCTCTTCAGACGTCGTAGAGCTAGACTCATAAGGCGGACATTGATTGAAGTCTTTTTGCTAGTCCCCTGACATTTTGGTAAATTAAATTAAAGCTTTTTATATTTGTTTCATTACAGTCTTTGAAATAGGATTCATTTGCTTTAGGGTTTCTGACGATATCCTTTTCTGTACAAAAAACCGGGAAACAATGGCATCTTCAGACCAGATTTACCTCCTCCATGCCTTACCAAAATTGCTTTGTTTAATTGTGACTTTCATCGACAAGTAATGTTCAGGCCTTTTCGATTCATGTTTCTCGCATTTCACCTCGGGAAAAGCTTCTTCTAGCATATATTCCAGTTTAGCAGGTGTAACATCAGGGTGCAGACGGGTTAGATGAAGTGTAACACAGCTGGGTATGGCTTGCACTTCATGGGGAGGAATTGCCATCCCGTATAAAGCGGCGTTTGGGTCTTCTTTTTACCTGTTGCCAGCCTTTGTCATAACCCTTGATTACTTCATTATGATTATCCGTTAATCCAAGTTCATTAATTTCATTTATCTTTGTTTTGGTTATAGCTTCAGCAACAGCAGACTTCACAGTAATGATGTATGTAATGTATGATAATGTATGTAATGATGATCCCAGGCAGCACAGAGACATCTTAAAGACGTCCCTAAGATGTGCACAAACGACATTCAAGGCATCTTGAAGACGTCGTTTGTTACAAAACCCAAACGTCTTTAGGACTAATATTTCATTATTATTACTAATTTTATAACTTTCAATTTTTGTCTATTCCAGGCGATAGGCTTGTGACAGAACTAGCTATTGCCCCTTTTTGGGCTTTAGTCAAACCGTACCAGGGATGCCAAAAGTTTTTACTTTGACTGACTGTTAAAATTAACCATTGTTGGATCATTTAGGGCCATATTCTCCGTAGTTCATAAAGCCTGGCTTAGTGGAAACGCTTGGTTTTTTGTGTGACAAAGCCGAGCTTTTTCACTAAGCCAGGCTTTATGAACTACGGAGAATATGACCCTTAAGCCTTGTATTGGGTTAGGGGTGCCTTGATTCTCATTTATACAAATAAAAAGCTGAAATAGAATAGTTATATTAATAAATGAAAGTAATTCGGTATGGTTACCAATCAAATCCTATCTAAAAATTCCTAATTGGACGTCCAGTCGAACTACAAATTTTATACTATTCTAAAGTAAATTTTTTAAAGTAAAATATCTTGATTTATAAAAAGTAGGGAAATCTGATAATGATAATAATATCATTTATGGTTAAATGTTCAATGAAAGAGAGCACAAATTGAAAAATTGAATGCACGAGAGCACAACATAAATAATTCGTCATTTTCAATCAGTTCACTGTGATCACAAAATGTTTATTGATCCTTGAAAGTTCTTTTATTTATTGAGAGTTAACAATTTGAGCACTTTTCTGCTGAAGTCTGTAAACAATATGTGCAAGAAAAGTTTTTTTATATGCTCAGTTTCTATATACAAATGTACAACTGTTAATTTCACGAGTGTGAAAACCAAATTTCTGCATTAAACGTTAGAAAACACTCCAATTTATAGTGCATTTCAAGCGAATCACTAATCAGTATTTATTAACTTATTATTGCTCGACTGTTAGAGAAATTGTAACGGTCTTACTTGCTTAGTCCGGTTCATGCAGATAAATCCACAAGGCGATTATTTATCAATTTAGCACAACTATTCACAATGGCAGCTAGGGAATTTTCCACTGAGATGAAAAGAAAACAAAATGATATACAGGTGCGTTGAAGCCCGTCGAGAGTGAGAGAGAGAGAGCCAAAAACAATCGTAGGAGAGAATTTTGCTCGTCCGAGGTGACTTGCAACAATTAGGGGTTAATTACATGAATTGTAATCAATAATATAGACCATGTCAAGCCTTGAGACACAGAGAGTAGTATTTTACTATAAATCGCGCGTACTAACAGGGGTTTTTGGGGGTTTTGCTCCTGGAGAGTATTCAGAGGGCACGAGGGTGCGAACTCTTCGCTTGTTCTAATAGTACTTAAGAATGTGCGTCGACTAGCTCTGCCAGGGAGCAGCTCGCAAAAAACTAGAAAACAATGTGGCGGCTGACCAATCACAGCAGCGAGAAAGGTCCACTGGCTTATAAGGTAATGAAGAAACCTGTAATTTTACCGGTTCAAAGGGTTGTTATTGCCGGTTTTACAGGATAAATAGTCCAGCAATTGCATCTATTTTTAGAATATTATTTTTATGGTAAATAATAGAGATCGAGATATATTAAAATAGAAATAATAAAATTTAAACCTGTTGTGGGTTATTTCCGCAAGAAGGCTCTCCGAAATAATTCTGAAATTTTTAAATTAAATTGTTCTCAAGCCGTTCAATATGCTGCTAGAAAGTTTATTGAAACGTTCTGAATGGCTTATTGAAGTTCTAGGGCGTTCTAACTTGGCTTGAAGAGTGGAGCCTTTTAGAAGTTTTTCAGTGATTCATAAATTGTTCTTGATTTTTAAGTACCTACTTCAGCTGAAGCTCTAAAGTGTTCTTAATGGGTTCAATAAAGTTCTAAAAAATTTCCAGTTCTAAATTGAATCCTAATTGTTCTGAAATAAACAAGTCTGAAGTTTCTAAATTGTTTCAAAATGCCCCTGAAAATTCTGATTTGGATGCATATTAAAGGTGTAAAGTTCTACAGCAATTTAAATTCGCTTTTGAACGCCTTCTGGAAAGCGTTTCGAAACTTTTAACCTGAATCCTAAGATTCTGGCGCTTTTCAAAATGTTTCTGGAGATTCTGGGCTGTTTGAGTGTTTTGCAGCGTCCTAAAATGGGTTTTCTAGATTAGAAAAACTTTTGTAGGTCTCCACTAAAAGCCATATTGTATGTTCAATCCGCACTGATTTTGACTTTACTTGAACAGTATTATAATTAAACAAACATTTTTCCAGAGGGAATGTATTTCTGTCCACATCGGCCAAGCCGGCGTACAAATCGGCAACGCTTGCTGGGAACTGTACTGTCTGGAACACGGGATTCAACCTGACGGCCAAATGCCCTCTGACAAAACCATTGGAGGTGGCGACGACAGTTTTAACACTTTCTTTTCAGAGACTGGAGCTGGAAAGCATGTACCCAGAGCGGTTTTTGTTGACTTGGAACCCACTGTAGTAGGTAAGTATCGACAATAATTTACAAACGTGATTTATGGAAACTCTATAACATAGCGCTATTGGAAAATCTTAGTTCTAAATTGCATGGTACTGTGCATACCAAGTTTAATTTGCCAAGAGCTCACAAACTATTCTTTGTATAGCCAGACAATATAGCAAACGGATCCACTAGACAGACAATTTTTCAACAGCAGAATGTAAATTTTTCCTTATTCTCATACACATACAACGTGAAAATTACCGGACCTAACATTTTGTCCCAATCTTATTCATCCTCGGAACTAAAAATTCTCGATTTTCTTTCATCACTCATAATTTTTATAATCCTATGGCATACCTTTTCTCAAATTGTGTTTAAGAATCTGTAGGTATCTCCTGGAAGATTTCTCCACCATTTTAGGTAGTTGTGTTGTGTGCGTTGTGTTGTAAATAAGAATCTTGTCTGAATATCTACTTTCAAAAATAATGGTTTTCAAAAATATGGCTGCCAATATGTGATATCCCATTCTAAAATGAAAAGTCTAATTCCTCTAAGTACCTAATTTTTTACATAGTAATTACACAAAAGACACATACATATTATTATCGGAATACATTTTCTAGTTCATTAAATATAAGATTTATGCAGGATGCAAGACAGGATGTATCATTAATAAAGACTTTAAAAAGAGAATAAAATCGGATTAGCGATTTATTCATAAGTAACTGATTCTTGTCATAATTAGGACATACTTTCAAAAAAAAAAAAAAACTTATTAATTATTAATAAATAATTGTTGTGCAAACTTAACGTCGCGTGACGATAGCCACTGACATCACGATGGATACGATGCTGAAAATAGAGTCGGCAAATCAAATTTAAATTTTAATAGTGGACGTTCACCTTTTGTTAATTGAATATGCAATAGACTAACCAAAAAAGTGTAAAAATACTTTTTTCTACAAACGTCACTAAAAGTGTCATTTTTAACGGATGCTGTCAGTGTCTAAAATGCCATTTTATGACACTGGTGCTAAAAGTGATTACTTTTAGCACTAGTGCTAAAAGTAATCACTTTTAGTGCGTTTGTAGAAAAAATAGTGTATGATATTCGTGCTAAAAGTGATTTTATTTTGTTCAAAGAGATGGAACACTCCGCCTTCGGCGTCGTGTCCCAAACTTCCCTTTTCACAAAATAAAATGTCACTTTTAGCACTTATATCATAAATAACTATTATTTATTTACTCGTCTAAACCGAACCTACCTACTCATTTCCTATATATACATAATATGTGTGGAATAATATAACCATAGGTACCAGACCAGACCACCAGATTAAATAGTTGGGAAACTATGGAGTAATCGGTTTGAGGATCATGATATTTTTCAATAACCTATTTTATCCCTGAAAGAAGGACTGCCCCCTGCTACTATTATACAGGGTGAATCCGAAAGTGAGACTTTTTTTTTGACAGGGTATATAGTTGGATGCCTATTCTCGAAAATGAGGAACAGTGTTCTCATGAGAACGATTGATCTGGACGTTGTCCAGTGTTATGCAAATACAAGTATGGGCGACTAGGGCAACGAAGATAGGACCTTCGTTCTCATAAGAACGCTGCTCCCATCTTTCGAGTTAAAGATCCTGGAGTCTTCTTAAGACCTTGAAATACCTGTAACTCCGTTATCTTAAATTTTTTGTATAAACATATTTTTGCCAGGCAACTTATTTTGGTGAGATATACATATATCCCGTTAAAAAAAGCCTCACTTTCAGATTCACCCTGTATATAATAGGTACTAATCTTCTGGAGAAATGTTAGATGACATAAACATAAGGAAGTCCTGCAATTACATTTTCCAATGCGTTGGACCCTCAAAACCCCAAAAAATTAGAACTGATCCTACAACAAGAATAGATTGAAAAGTGCTCCATTATTTAACACAAACTTTAAAATCCTAGCAAACCAAGGTAAGTAGGTACCTATACATACCTATTTCATTTCATTTTTTCTTTAGATGAAGTCCGCACTGGAACGTACCGTCAATTATTCCATCCCGAACAACTCATCACTGGTAAAGAAGATGCTGCAAACAATTACGCACGAGGCCATTACACTATCGGAAAAGAAATTGTCGATATAGTTCTGGATAGAATTAGAAAACTGGCTGATCAATGTACAGGATTACAAGTAAGATTGATATGATTTTATCATCGGAGCAATCTAAATTCGTTGATATTTAAACTTGGTAGATCACATCATGCCATTTTTTCACGACGTCAAATTGATAATGCTTTTTTGCAGTAGAGGTAATATAAGGGTGTAATTGCCAATTCTTGGAATGCTCATCGAGTTTTTTTTTTTTTGATATCGGGATATCACGTACCACGGTGCTTAAATAAATCTTTTTTTTTTTTGATGTAAGCATTCTCCCAGATGGCTGGATTGTAAAGTTTTAGATTATTACTTACTTGCCTAAATCAATTTGGTAATATTTAGCTCCTAACTTAGGAGGCATAAGGTTTCTTATATCTTTAACTTATATCTTCATATCTATAACGTTATTGTCTTGACGTGTTTGTTGAATAAACATATATTGGTTTATTTCTCTTGAGAAAATCAAGAGGAAATTTATCGGATTTTTCTTTAGGGATTTCTGGTTTTCCATTCATTCGGTGGCGGCACTGGTTCTGGATTCACCAGTTTACTTATGGAGCGATTGAGCGTCGACTATGGAAAAAAATCGAAATTGGAGTTTTCCATTTATCCAGCACCACAGGTTAGTCGTTCAAAAGTGTAAATCCTTTTAAATATTTGATCCACCAATAAAATCGAAAGAATGGATTGCAAATTGACCTATTTTTTCAGGTGTCCACCGCAGTTGTAGAACCCTATAACTCAATCTTGACTACTCACACTACTTTAGAACATTCTGATTGTGCCTTTATGGTAGACAATGAAGCCATTTACGATATTTGCCGTAGGAATCTGGATATTGATAGACCTACTTATACTAATTTAAATAGACTGATTGGCCAGGTAGGTAACTATACTTTCTGCAGTTCAATTTTGTTAGATTTTGAGATATAGGCACGTAAATAAAAATGAATTATCTAACATTCAGATTTCTACAATCCACTACCCTTCCAATAACTTATATCATCAAAAAACATTGTGGAGGAGGGTTAATAGCTTTACAGAAGAACGAGTAATATTTGAATTAATATGGACTTGTTCAACTTCCATTTTCATGAGAATTAAAATATGATATCCCAAACATTTATCATAAATATGCAGTTCTTTTAAACAACCCTTCAGAATTCAAAATAAAAGATTGCTATCAGATATGATAGTATATGTTTCATTTAAATTTCAGATCGTTTCATCAATAACAGCCTCCCTCCGGTTCGATGGTGCCCTAAACGTAGACCTAACCGAGTTCCAGACGAACCTGGTGCCCTACCCCAGAATTCATTTTCCTCTTGCCACCTACGCCCCTGTAATATCAGCTGAAAAAGCTTACCACGAACAATTGACAGTTTCTGAAATCACTAACGCCTGTTTCGAACCAGCCAACCAAATGGTGAAATGCGACCCGAGGCATGGAAAATATATGGCTTGTTGTATGTTATACAGGTGGGATCAACAAAGTGAATATTTTGTTGTAGCATATTTTTATTAAAAAAAAAACAAAATGTATTCTTTCAGAAATAACCTCCTAACATTTCATATATTGGTTCCTAAGAACGATCAGCTTCGACTAATCGTTCTTGGGTTTCCAGATCATAAGCTGCTACTGTAAGCGGCTGGTAAGAGCCAATATTCAAATCAGTTCTAGTAAAGAGCGTCAAAGAATGATTATTAGAAAAAGACTAAAAAAATGGACACCTCCGACAAATGAAAAAGAGTTTGAAAATCACATCAGTAAATCACTAAATAGCATTCCCACAAAAGCTAGGATATTCTCTCGTCAGGGTAGGAAAATGTTAGTAAATTCAACAAGGCCCTAATGCACGTTCTGAATACACAAAATCAAAATCTCAGCACAAAAAGACAGCATATAATTTCTTAGGTTTTAATTTACTTCTTTATCGGTGTTGTTAACAGCATGAAACGATTTTTGTTAAATACATGAACAATGCACATGTTATAAAAAAAATGTTATAAACAAACAAAAAAAAATATGAAAATGGAAAAAATCATATTTGTATAAATTGAACTCTCATAAACAAAATAATAATTAATCAACTAACCTGTGAACGCTTCTTACACACACACTAACAGGGGCGGCTTCTCAATAAGTGCGCTCGTGCGCGCGCACTGCCTCCAAAAACCAAGCAAGAAAATAAAATTAAAATTTTGGAAAGAAAAGAAACTTCAATTAAAAAATACCTACCCAATTTTCTAAATTAGGATAAATATCTACTCATTTTTCTATTTTTAAATTCGCACGAACGGAACCAAAGCGCGCCCTGCGCCTGTCTTGTATATTTTTTTCTCCCGCTTGGTTGTGCTGGTGGTCCGGGTGGTCGGTGTGGAATCGTTCGGCGCTCTGGGTAAATGTGTTTTCTCGCTATGTGATTGATCGGGAATATACGGTAAGTAGCCCGCTGAAAGGGATGCGCCGTGCGCTATTTGAATACACACTTCCAATGTTGTTTCCACTCAATCGAGAATATTTCGATGTTTTTTCACCATTTTGTCGGTTTGACAACTCTGTTGTTCGCGGTTTTTTTTTTTAATTATAAATTTCAATATCAATTAGGTATTATGCAGGGGCGGCTTCTCAATAAGTGCGCTCGTGCGCGCGCACTGCCTCCAAAAACCAAGCAAGAAAATAAAATTAAAATTTTGGAAAGAAAAGAAACTTCAATTAAAAAATACCTACCCAATTTTCTAAATTAGGATAAATATCTACTCATTTTTCTATTTTTAAATTCGCACGAACGGAACCAAAGCGCGCCCTGCGCCTGTCTTGTATATTTTTTTCTCCCGCTTGGTTGTGCTGGTGGTCCGGGTGGTCGGTGTGGAATCGTTCGGCGCTCTGGGTAAATGTGTTTTCTCGCTATGTGATTGATCGGGAATATACGGTAAGTAGCCCGCTGAAAGGGATGCGCCGTGCGCTATTTGAATACACACTTCCAATGTTGTTTCCACTCAATCGAGAATATTTCGATGTTTTTTCACCATTTTGTCGGTTTGACAACTCTGTTGTTCGCGGTTTTTTTTTTTAATTATAAATTTCAATATCAATTAGGTATTATGGCTAGAATACAAACATTCAAGCCTCATTTAAATACATATATTTTTGTTTTCGATAATTTTTCCTAAAGTAAAGATTAAAAAATTCAACATACAAAATAAATGTAAAACAGGACGTGGCACCTCCAAAAAATTTTCCAAGAGCGCACAACCACACTAGGTTGCCACTGGCCGCCACTGGTATTATGGCTAGAATACAAACATTCAAGCCTCATTTAAATACATATATTTTTGTTTTCGATAATTTTTCCTAAAGTAAAGATTAAAAAATTCAACATACAAAATAAATGTAAAACAGGACGTGGCACCTCCAAAAAATTTTCCAAGAGCGCACAACCACACTAGGTTGCCACTGGCCGCCACTGCACACTAATAACAAATTGGATTGAACAATCAAGTTTGATGCAAAATAAAAATGAAACTTGAATAATGAATAATTACAGACACGCGACACGTTTTCTAAGGGACCAGTCCAGCTCGTTCTGTAGTCTAGTTGCGTATTCTCTTGTATCCTCTTCGGTTTCGGTACCTTCGTTTTCTGTGGCGCGCTCGTTCAATCCTAAAGTTGAGGGTGCATACATGGTTGCAACATTTACTTTTATTCAGTAAACGTTTTTTTTTTTTTTTTTAAGTTAGGATTTTAAGAAATAATATTTTAAATAGGTGGTTTTCCTCAGTACTAACAATCACCTTCGGTGTCTCAAACCCTTGTAGACTTCCAAAAGGCTTTCGACACCGTGGAACTTGCTTCAATCTTGAGACCACTACAAGAAACTGGAGTTGATCACCGATATTGCGGAATTATCAAAAACATATCCGAAATGGTGACACTATGTCACTATTCATCAAAGTTCTCGAAGATGCTTTTAAGAATTTTGCTTTTCGAAGCGAAAATAAATAATCATCGATGGGGAAAGTCTTAATAATTTTCGCTTTGTAGATGATATTGTCCTAATATCAGTCATTCTGGGCGAAGCTAAAGAAATGCTCCAGAAATTCCATGCAAGAAGTGGACCTGAAGATGAACTTCTCGAAAACCAAAATGATGACTAATCTGGTTCCCAGTGAACAAATACCTACAAATAGGCAATAATAACATAGAAATAGTGGACAAGTACGTATACCTGGGTCATGAGATGATAATTCACAGAGATAATCAAACATGCGAATTGACGAGAAGAATAACCTTGGAATGGGTAGCATTCGGGAAGATGAAGGATGTGCTTAGGGCTGGCATTCGCAACGAAAAGCATTCAGCCAGTGTGTCGTTTCAGTCCTGACCTATGGAGATATTGACTGTCACCAAAGCAGAAAAGTTGAGACTAACACAGAGACAAATGGAAAAATCCATGCTTGGATTGACTTTAAAAGACCGAATAAGGAACAATGAGATCCGCATAAGAACTTGCAAGGACGATATTGTAGAATGTATCGCAAAACAAAAGTGGAAATGGGCAGGCCACGTCGGAAGATCTGAGGACGGGAGATGGACGAAGAAACTCATTGAGTGGAGACCAAGAGCCGACAAACGAAACCGAGGAAGATCTTCCCCTCGCTGCACAGACGACCCGGAAAGGATTTCATCAAATTGGATCGCAACTGCTCAGAACATGGAGAGTTAATAGGAGGACTTAAAGGGATAAAATGAGATGAACGATTTTAGAAGACAAGCAGGCGAACAACTGACCTAGAAATTGGGAAACGTCTGCTATCATAAATGAGGAGGACTTCACTTTGTGGAATAGGGTTCATTATCCACAAGAAATATGCAAAGAAGATTGCTGATATCCAGAGGAGAGCATAGGTATTAATAGAGTCGTAGTTCTTTCAAAGAACTTAACTCAATAGTACGAGGAAGTTTCAGGAAAGCACACTTTTCATGGGTAATTTTTAGATTAAATTTGGCTAAAAACAAACGACTTCGGAACAGTTCTGGGCAATAACGCCATTGGCGATGGAAGCTCCTTGACTGATATAGTGTTGATCATGTGGCATATTTTAATAGACTTTGTACAGTCACAAGGCAAAAGAAGATACACACATTTAGAAGAACTATGAACATTGGAGGACAGAAATAACAAAACAACAGAAAAGTGAAAAAGTCTCAATAAATAATTATGAAAACAAATCAGAAAAGATTTGAGGAAGTACAACATACTAGTCGCAAGTTCAAGGGTGATAGAATAAAAGGAAAACGGATGCTACTTAAAAAACAAGAAAAACGGAACACTGAGTAGTATCAAATGAGAAGCAGAGTAGGAAACAGAACTACAACTAAGTCGAGAACTTTATCGATCACCACTTCAAAGATATTCCAGAGCCAGAGCAACAGTTATTTTAGCAACAATATGAAAGAACCATGAACAACATGAAGTAAGGAAATGCCGCTGAATATGATGGCATGATAGCAGTGGCGCACCCAAGGGGGGGGTTTGGGGGTTAAAACCCCCCCCGAAATTTAGCACTAGTACAAAGAATTTTCCGGTAAAAATATTTTTTTTTTTGCGATTTTGGTTAATAGGTACCTACAAACTTTCTATTTTATATACATGGCACCCCTAAAAGGTTTTGCCTCCTACAGCGAGTTGATTTAGTGAGTAAACAGCGAATTAAACAAATAACTTGGTTGGTTGGTTGGTTGGTTAAGATGCAGAATGAACAGGCTGTTAGGTGACCCCAACACTGCAGCCGTCGGCCTATTGTATTTTCCTCTTCGTCTGTTTAGTCAGTGAAAAGTTTCCTGACCTTGATTAGGTTTAGGAGCCTCTTCACCGAGTTACTTTTGGTGAGTTTAGAGATATGGTCTTCTGACCCTATCTATTTGTATCTCCACCAGCGTAAAGCCTCACATTCAAAGATTATGTAGGTGGCGGTTTCATCATTCTCGTCACAAAGTCTGCATATGGGTTCTTTCTTGGAGGATGCTTATTGTTTGAAGGTGTTTTCTGAGGCTACAGTATCCAGTTATAAGTCCAGTTATTAGCTTGATTTGATTCCTGTTTAGTTTGTAGGATTTCTTCAGTAGATTTACGGTTTAGGTCATGGTTGTTGTATACCATTCGCTTACTGTGTCTGAGCTTCGGAAGAGTTTGCCAGTAGGGTTTGTGTTGTCTATACACCCATTGATTTATTTTTGTTCTTACCGATGATTTTGTGGTGCCAATTACCGGTTCAGTACCAGTATAACTGGTTGCCGATCCGTCTCTTGCCAGAGCATCTGCTTTTTCATCTCCTTCAATTGCTTTATGCCCTGGCACCCATTTAAGGGTTACCTTGTTGGCCATACTCAGGTTTTTGAGGTTTTTCAAGCATTCCCAGACAAGTTTGGATTTTATTTCAAAGCTGTTGAGTGTTTTGGTCGACGCTTGACCGTCTGAGCATCAGATAGGAATGTTTTTACCTGTGTATCCCCTCCTCAGGTTTTCTCTCAGACAGGGGTCGATGGCATATATTTCTGCTTAGAATACAGTAGTGTATTCTCTTAGAGGTTGACATACTTGCCGTTGGTATGCTTCTCTGGGCACCGGTAATACAAAGAAACCCAAGTCTCTGGATTTTGGCTAGCTTCAGGTTTGCTTGTCTTTGGTTCACTTAAGGCCACCATACAAGTGCCCCATATGTTATCATTGATCTTACAACCGTAGTGTATATCCATTGTACAACTGACCGTTTTAGTCCCCATGTTTTCCCAATCGCTCTTTTGGTTCCATGTCAGCTTCATATCTAGGATGATGCCTAGAAATTTAGCTTCCCTGCCAAGCTCCAAGGTTTTTTGGAATAGACTGGGGGCGATTAAGTTCTCCAGATTTCTTTTTTTCGTGAAAGGAATTGTTTGGGACTGGTTGACGCGAAGTTGCTCCCTCGTGCACCATTCCTCAATGATTCCTAAGGCGTCCTGCATGAAGTTTGATAGTGTCCTGGTAAATTATCCCCTAATGATAACGTCTATGTCGTCCGCGTAGCCTAGGGTGTTGTAGCCTTGATCATTTAGTTTCCTCAGAAGTTCATCCACGACTAGATTCCACAAGAGTGGTGAAAGTACTCCAGAGGTTTCAGCGATAGTCGAGTTTATAGTCCTGTGTTTCAGCATGGACTTGATCCATCTGCATGTGGTATCATTATTCGCATGTTGCCCAGCAGCTCTGACACTATGCAATCACTCACGAAAAGTTATTTTTTGAAGGCTTAAAATAAGCGTTTTTGGGCGTGACACCCGAAAAAAAATTCTTCCTATGGGGCCCGGCCTACGGCAGCGCCTGCCTGCGGCGAGCCTTCATCATTATGAAAACCCCCCCCCAAATAAAAAACCTGGGTGCGCCACTGCATGATAGAACAATTTAAGCAGGCTTGTAGCTCAATCGTCAATGTCGTCGTTATTCTCTACAATCTCTCAAAAGCAGTGACATTTTCGAACAATGTGCCAATAATTTATTCAAAAGAAAAAAGCGATCCATCAGATATGTATTTGTAATTACCGGTCCATAAGTCTACTTTCCCACAATTCGCTTCATATCGAAATAATCATTGAGCACGGAAACAGAGCAGATCTAGAAGTAGCCTAGGATTAAACTTTATCACTAACTAAACTAACTTCCAATTTTGTCGAGTACGAAAAAGTGTTTGATTCACTAATCGGGACACTTTTTTTTTGAAGGAATACCTAATTTAATATAAACGAAATAGAATGTAACTGAATAAACCAACAAAATTTAAAAATAAAAAATAACGCAAAATAATAATGGTACATTATTCAGTTAGGAACCAAAGTGGTACTTTTATCAAAAAACACTTTAGTCCGCACACTATTTCATGTACTTTAAAGGGATTAAAAGTAGGTACCCTTTCATTCCCTGTTTCATTTAATCCCCGGGTAATAAAGTAAAAATTTAATCCCTTGGGAAATTGTCAATGAAAAACAATGTTTTTTTTTGGACAATAAAGCTAATTTTGATTTGATTTGATTTGAAATGATGTGAAATTTAATCCCGGGGATCTAAAGACCCACTTCACTCCCTTGAAACAGGGATTTAAGGGGTACTTTTAATCCCTAAAATGCATAAAATGCATTAGTTTATTCTTATCTTCGAAACCAAAAGAATCTTGATAATTATTATGAATAATAATAATAAATAATTAACAAGTACAATTCAAAAATAAGTGTCTTATAAGTGGGTACTTTTTTTCAACTTTTTGAAAAATTCCGTGAAATCGGAACATTTAGCGTCTCGACGTATAGTCCGTCGGGACACGGGACAAAATCTCCAATATCGGGACTGTCCCGTTAAAATCGGGACGTCTGGCAACCCTAGATACAATGACGTCATTGAGCATAGGTATATTCATCACCATGCTACAGCATCTGTGAGTCTGCAAGAAGAGCCAGAAAAATTCAAAGTAAAAAGGGGTTTGACTGTGACCCAATCTCTCCAAAAATTTTCATTAGCCTGGAGCATTGGTGAGATTGGGATGATTTGGATTGAGTTAAGTAAAACAGGGACATAATCAATCACCTCAAGATTTGCCGATGACGACAAGATGTTATCAGCAGCAATATGAACGTTTCCAAAGCCCCCCGCAGTTTATGATAAATCTAATGCTAACTCATCCTATCAGGGTTTGTATGAGAATATTCAATTTTGAGCTTCAGTAAGAAATCAATGTTTTCTTCAAACATCAGAAAACCTGACATTGTTCTACTGATTTTAGGATGCTAAACTTCAAATATTCTGTCAGTTGGTTTTCACTGAGCTTATGAGCGTTTTTTTTGTTTGAGAATACATTTTGTTAGGGACAGTCTCCAAAGTTCTTCCATATTCCTCCACTTGGTAAAATTGATTTAGTTCACAGAATATGTTTATGTTCTTAGGGGAGACGTGGTTCCCAAAGATGTCAATGCTGCCATTGCCACTATTAAAACAAAACGCTCAATTCAATTTGTTGATTGGTGTCCTACTGGATTCAAGGTTGGAATTAACTATCAGCCACCGACTGTAGTTCCAGGTAAAGTATACAAAAGAACTTTTAAACTTTATGCTTTAACTCTTTGCATTGCATAAAATAACTGTAAGTATGCTTGAGGTACCCATTGACTGTCAAAAATTGGCCCACAAGTAGGGCTGCCATTTATGAAATTTGTTACCTAGGACAATTCCTAGAAAAACCCTGGACTTAAACCCCACAAACCCGGACACCAATAGAGGGTATCCGCCGCAGATGGAATTTTTTTTTTGGGTGCTACGTCCAGAAATTTTTATTTTAAGCGTTCAAGAACCACCCATTATTTTGACAAAAAATTATTTTCATCGATTGATGATTTCCATGATTCTTGTCAATTTCGAGTAGAGATTGAAGTTTACCGGTAATTTTCATTTGTTCTTTCTCAGTGGTAATTTACCGGTAATTTTCCGGTTATTTTGGTAATTTTGGAAATATTTCATGAAACAAACAATTATGTATATTGTCATAATTGTTTGTTACCTATACGTTCAAGGATTATAGATTTTCAGGATTTTTTACCTAAACAACTATTTATTTAATATTGTTTGTTGTAAAATCTAATCTCATAGAAATATTACAATAATTAATCAAATAATAATACCTAATTTCTAGAACGAAAAACCAGCAAAGAAAATCAAACAAAAATAAAACAGAAATAAATTCTCCTAATCTGGTGCTAAACTAAATAGTATAGTAAATACCTACTTTTAAAGGATAAAAAGAAAACAAAGAAATAAAATGAGCTGAATAAGTATAGCATAAAAGATAACTCTGTCAAGAAAATTGATAACTTAAAGCGCACAGGGTTGGCAAAAGCCTGGGTTTTTGAAAATTTCTATTGGTTTTTTGGGTTTTTGCGAGAGTTGTGCTTTTGTAGGGTTTTTGTCGAGGTTTTTGTGTTTTAAGATCTTTGACTCTTTGAAATTCCAAATAATCTCAATTTCAGAACTCAACAAAAACCCACCGGGTTTTTGAAATAGGTTTTTCCTACGAGCACAATGTTTTAATTCAAAATATAGGTACTACATATTTTTTACTTCAAATCACATTACTATCTATAGGAACTATTTTCCATTGAGAAAACCTAGATATTACACAGATTTTTTGATCAATTTTTGATAAATGTGATGGACAAAAATACTTGTGGAAAAACATTACACCTAACTTCTGCGGAAAATGTCCTTTCCACCCTTGACAGCTCGCTAACTGCCATCGCGTGGGAAAAGCACCACTTTCCGCACTTGTTAGGTAAATAACTATTTGTTTGTGCCAACCCTGAAAGCGCGTCACAGATTCACAACTAGATAGCGAATAATGCATGAAAAGTATTGTCGCCTGAAAGTGATTTCATTCAGGAAGCATTTCTGAAAATTACCGGTAAAAAAATTTGTCGGGTTAAATTACCAAAATTACCTTACGAAAATTACCGTTACCGCGGTAACGTTACCACACTTTAATCTCTAATTTCGAGGAGTTATTCGTGATTTTTTCAAGAAGCCTTAAATCCGGACGGATGGCAGCCCTACCCACAAGAATATTAAGGGCAAAAAAAGGCTAGCGTTAAGTATATGATGTTAGAGAATTTTTTTATAGTACCAACCTATTTCTTTGATCAAGTAATTTGACTCCGTAAACAAGTCTTGTGTTATTTACCGCCGATCACACATTACAGATATTAGATGTAAGTTTTGTTGATCTGAGAAACAGATAATCTGAGATTCTTAGAGTCTAAGAGAAGAAGAGAGGGATGGCATGTCGAAGGTCTGTTATGTATAGCTTTTTTCTGGTTTGATAGATTTTGAGTCTAAGGCAGGTGACACACTCGAGAAATAAGTTACATAAAACTTGTTGCAAGAAACAGGAAATTTGTTTCATTATCATACTACACATACATTCAAATGAGGCGGAGCACACTGGCGAAACAATTTCTGCTCTCCTGTTTGAGAAACGCCAGTGTGCACCGCTCACCGCTTCATTTGAGTGTATGTGTTTTGTGATAATGAAACTGTTCAGGAATTTAGGAGTTGAAACATGATGTAATAATGCACACCAATTATTCTATTCAGTTTCATGGTCCAAGACATTTCGAGTTCTTAGTGCCTACCTGAATTTTCCAGAGTGAGTCACAGTCATCAGCTCAGCCGAAAACACAGAAATTCTATAGAAAACTTTGAAAGATGTTATAAATCTTATCTGGCTCAGTACAAGCCGTTCTTAGATAAAAATAACCCATATTTTTTGGCAATAAAACTAAGTATACCTTTTACTTTTCATTTTAGGTGGTGATCTGGCAAAAGTCCAACGTGCAGTATGCATGTTATCCAACACCACAGCGATTGCTGAAGCCTGGGCGCGTTTAGATCACAAATTTGACTTGATGTATGCCAAAAGGGCGTTCGTTCATTGGTACGTCGGCGAAGGTATGGAAGAAGGTGAATTTTCCGAGGCCCGTGAGGACTTGGCTGCGCTCGAAAAGGACTATGAAGAGGTGAACTTTTCCTTTTTTCTTACAATTTCATCTTTTGAATTATTTATTATTTAGGTCGCTGTGGATTCTATTGAAGGCGAAGCTGATGAAGGAGATGAATATTGAAGTTCTTTTTGTTCCAATTCTACCAAAGCGATTTTTCAATATTTTTTGGTTTATTAACATTACTTATTGCGTTATTAATTTATTTTCTCACCTTCTAACCACTAAATTTTATTCATGTTTATAAAATAGCTATTTTCCTAACGAGTGCGGGAAGAGAAATTTCCGGCACTAGGGTGCGAAGCGCTCGAGTGCCGGAAATTTCTTCCCGCAAGAGTTAGGAACTATATTTTTTCCACGAGCATACTAAAGCTGATGTTACGAGAATTTTAATTTAAATAAAATGCGATTGTGCAGAAGGTAGAATTAAAAACGTATTGAAGGTATTTATAAAAAAAAAAAACGTGAAGGTATTAAAGGTAAAGGCATAGGTGTTTCAACAATACAAACAATTCCATGTCACATGATTATTTCAAACTCTTCCCGCACTGAGTACGGGAAGAAATCTCTTCCCGCACTGGTGCGGGGAGAAAGTCTTCCCGCACAGCAAATCGTGCGGGAAGAGCCATTTCCCGCACGCTCGTAGAAAAAATGTCATCCGTCCTAACTAAAGTGCTTTATTCATTTTATATGGTTTTTATACATAACACAGTGCGTGAAAATATACAATGTATTGCAAAATCTGATTGTATTTTCATTTTTTCAGGAATAAATCTTGTGAAATAGGTAGGTACCTATTAAGCTTGTTAAACGATTGGCTGGCTCTATAGGGAATTGATTCAAACCCAAAGAAATCTAGAAATTCTAGAAAAAAAGGTGCCGAAAGCGGTAATATCCTTAATACCCGTGGTGCCTTCAACGTTTAATGTCCGACTTCATTATTTTTTATATAAGAAAATTTAGACTGAATTTTGAATAAATTGAATAAAAAATAATCAAAACGCCGTAGGGCGTTATTTGGAAATTACGCCACAGGAAGGTTAATTCCTATTTGAAAAAAATAGTAAATAACGTCGTATGGCCAGGGACGGCTTAAGACTTCTTGAGGCCCTGGGCCTATATATAAAAGGAGGCCGCTTACCTATGGGGGGTGAGAGGAGGGGGGGGGGGGTGCTCTAGGAAATACGAAATTAATAAATAAGAAAAACTTCTGAAATGTTATTGTGGATGTTTCCTGATCTTTCTGAAAATAATATACAGGGTGTTTCACGAACATCGAGAAAGGCGTTTTTGTTTTGGGGTATTTTAAGGTCGATCTCAGTTTTGTATTCAAGAGGGAAACTTTTTGACTCCATCGGTATTTCACTAGGGTGCACCCCCTGGGTGGGGTGACTTTCACTCCTGTTTTTTAGATAGGAAAGATGGGTCGATTGGTACCTATCTTGTTTTAAAGGTATTTTGATTCTCGTCACAACAGTGTACTTTTTTTGAAAATCGAATGATTAGTTCTCAAGATATTCACTGTCAAAATGGGTTAAATAAGAAACAATCTTCTGGCCCTGATATTCTCAAATTAACACTCTCCTGACTTTCCTTTCAGACACGTCAATTTTAATTTTTTTCGGAAGCACATAAAAAAAGAAAATTGACATGTCCGAGAGGAAAGTCAAGAAAGTGTTAATTTGAGAATAACTGGGCCAGAAGATTTTTTCCTATTTAGCCAATGGCCATTTTGACAGTGAATATCTTGAGAACTAATCATTTGATTTTCAAAAAAAGTACAGTTGTGAGAGGAATCAAAATTCCTGTGAAACAAGGTACCACTCGACCCATCTTCCTTATTTTAAAAAGAGGAGTGAAGTCACCCCACCCAGGGGGTGCACCCTAGTGAAATACCGATGGGGTCAAAAAGTTTCCCCCTTGAATACAAAATTGATGTGTCCGAGCGTTTTTTTTTAAATCGACCTTGAAATACCCCAAAACGCCTGTTTTGATGTTCGTGAAACACCCTGTATATTTTATGGTTGATGTGGATCAAAATTTAAAAAAATATAGTTTTTCCAGATACTTTTTGTTAAACTTTTTCGCTAGGCGGTACCTGGTACCCGCCTATTTTTTTTTTTCCATAAAATATTTTTAACTAGGCGTGGACTTAGCGATGAGGCCCCTTAGGCGCCGGAGGCCCTGGGCCCGGGCCCAGCGGGCCCATGCTTTAAGACGGCCCTGCGTATGGCGTTATTTTTTAGAATAACGCCCTAGGGAATTATTTCGAATTTAACTGACTTTGACATAATGTCATTATTTCTCGAATAATATATACCAGTCGGACATTAATGTAATTTTGAATGCTTTCATTATTCATTATTATAACACAGTATTGAATAATAAGCGTAATATACATCCATTTTCTATTGATCAATGTGAATGATTACTCATACAGTGAGTTTTTTTAATTACTCAATTGTTTTCAACCAATGAAAATATCCTGTCTCATTACTCCACTATTGAAGAGCCAATCAAAAAATTCGACAAGTTGCCAACATATTTCAACCTTCCAATCGGTCATTTTGACAGCTGATTTAAACAAGACTTGTGCTAACCTAACCTCACTCTGTCCTCCAGGTGTCAGAGTTGTCAATTATTTTTGTTATGAAAATTAAATAAAAAACCGCATAACTCGTGCCTATTATCTTATTAATCATAAAAAAAGTATAGTATGGGTAATGGCTATTACTCACTCGGATGATTACACTACTCGCCTGCGGCTCGTAGTGCAAACTTCATCCTTCATGAGTAATAGCCATCATTACTCGCTTGTTGAATAATATACTATTTCTCGTAAAAGTGCAACAATATTACGCAACTGTCACTATCTGCAAATATGCTTGATCTACCTACACTGCTAGTTTGGTGCTTGGTTTTCAAAACAAAAAAAATAAAAATATTAAAAAAAGAGCAGTTAAGTCCGCTAAGAGTGAGAACCCTTCTGATGCCTAGTTACTAGTATCCCTTTGATTAATTACTGTTTCGATTTGTACGGAAGTGTATTAGGCTTGTGTTAAATTACTTATACTTTTTAATATCTCAAATTTAATACTACTATTACTGGTGAGAATGTAGATTAACGGACTAACACAAGTGATTTACTCACAGTTTTTTAGCAGTGTCGTATAACTGTGTTTTCAAGAATCGTTCTCACTAAATTTTATTTAATAGCTATTTTCGGGATCGAAAAAAGGACGGTTCTAGAACCTCGTTGACCAGTCAGAAACAACTACTCCGAGGGCAAATACCCCTACCGGCGTTGAACTACACTGATTGGTCTGAGCTCTCGTTGGCAATGAAAATTGTTAGAGAGTTTTTACAGGTAATGACCAACGTGAATTCAGGGACACAACGGTCCCTGTTTGGGAATCGACCCACTGAGTAGTGGACTCAGGTTTCCCGTGCCAATCCTTGACGCGTTTCGTCCTTGTCCTGAATTCATGTTGGTCATTACCTGTAAAAACTTTCTAACAATTTTCATTGCCAACGAAAGCTCAGATCAATCAGTGTAGTTCAACGCCGGTAGGGGTATTTGCCCTAGGAGTAGTTGTTTCTGACTGGTCAACGAAGTTGAATTTTGCTTGGACAGGGAGCTTCAGCCTATGTCACTATGTCCTTCTGATGAGTCCTAACAAGGACGAAACGCGTCAAGGATTGGCACGGGAAGCCTGAGTCCACTACTCAGTGGGTCGATTCCCAAACAGGGACCGTTGTGTCCCTGAATTCACGTTGGTCATTACCTGTGAAAACTTTCTAACAACGGTTCAAAACAATCGCACAGTTCATCAATCAACAAAATGACAACGGCTCAGCTATCACAAAGTTCAATAATAAACTGTGCGATTGTTTTGAACCGTTCTAGAACCGTCCTTTTTTCGAACCCGAAAATAGCTTATATTTCGCGCAACTAACTACTTTTTCTTTAAAATTTCTTCCTAGCAATGTAAGCAAATGCGTTTATCCCATTTTGACTTTTAAAAATTACATTATTGAACGCATTACAGTGAAGGTAAGTAGAATTTTATCACCTCAGTCATTTTAATAGTATATTATAAGTGTCTTTAAAGTGCACGCGACAAATTTCAAAACACGACGCGCAGTGGAGTGCTTTTAAGTCGCAAGGGCTTTAAAGGCTTTTGTACACGAATATCATACGCTATTTTTTATTACGAATGCATCATAATCTCAATTTTTTTCTAAGTGTGGTAATTAATTTTGATACATAAAGTCTGTTTTTTGTTTTAAAAGATAATTCTCCAAGTCAAAAATTTAGTAACTATGTTGGCAACAAGCCTTTTCTACATAAAAAATTTGAAAGCATTGACAATTTTACATTGTATTGCCAACATAATGTCATTTTGACTTTTATCTTAAAAAAAAAAAACAGATTTTATTAATTTGAACGCCAGGTAAATATCTAGGTAATATAGGTAGATCAAACGTTTCTATAGCAAACCTTTGAAAAGGTAGGCGCATCATAAACATGAGTTTATGCACGCTGCAGCATGCGATAATCGTCGATTATGATGCATGAGTAATAAAATAGTTATTTATGTATAAAGGGTACCCCGAGGGCGACAGTCTTACAAAGCCGAAGGGCCTTTGGCCTGAGGGTTCGAAAGTGGCCCCATGGTATATATATCTATTAGTACCTGTGGTGCATACCAACTTTTATGTCATACCAGTTGGTTTTGAATAATAATTATATATTTTTGTAAATAAAGAATAAGTTAATCGAAAACTGTTTTTTGCGTCTTATTGCCCGTGCGGGCCATAATGTGCACTTTATGCCCGCACGGGCATAATAGTTATTTATGTATCAAGGGTACTAAGTAGATGATTATGCCCTGAGGGCGACAGTCTTACAAAGCCGAGGGCTTCTGGCACGAGGGTTTGTAAGTCGCCCGAGGGTATATATATCTATTAGTACCCGTGGTGCATACAAACTTTTATGTCATACCAGTTGGTTGTGGATAATAAATACCTGGGAAAAAAGTGTCACTTCGCAAATTGTCATCAGTGTGCAAACATCATCATTTTTTGACAAAAATAATATGTTTATAAGCGTAAATTTATAT